AAAGGAACAGACGGCATGCCCCTCTGAAGATAGAGTGAAAAAACTCAATGGAGAGTAGCCGACTGTAAAGGTACAGACGGCATGCCCCTCTGAAGATAGAGTGAAAAAACTCAATGGAGAGTAGCCGACTGTAAAGGTACAGACGGCATGCCCCTCTAATACAAAATTGAATAGTAGAGCTTCCGTCCACATATACCTTCCAGACTTGGTCTGGAACTTGAGAGTCAGGAGGACGAGTCATCTCTACAATAAAGTCAGCAAAGGCTTGCCCCTTCACTGCTTTTCTAGGCTCGAAAGTAACTTCGAGACTCTGCATTTCTATGGCCCATTTGATCATTCGTCCGGAGGACTCCATGGTGGTAAGGGGCCGTTTGATCGGTTGGTCGGTATACACGACGACTGCATGTGCCAGAAAGTAGGGCTTCAATTTTTTAACAGCCATGAAGAGTGCAAGACCAAATTTCTCCACTAGGGGATACCTCAACTCGGCATTTTTCAGTACGTGACTGACAAAGTAGACCGGAAGTTGACAGCCGTCCCTTTCAGCAAGGAGCACCGCGCTTAACGCATGATCAGAGACGGCCAGGTACATGTAGAGTTTTTCTTTTGGCAAAGGGCTGACCAGCCTTGGCAAGGAATGCAAGTGAACCTTTAATTTCTGGAAGGCGGCCTCAGCATCCGGCCCCCATTCAAACCTTGCCTTTTTCTTAATTGCCTGGAAAAAGTATAGGCATTTGTCGCCTGATCGGCTTAGAAATCTTCCCAAGGCCGCCAGACAACCTGTTAACTTCTGAACCTCTCGGACGGTACGAGGCGACTGCATGTCAATGACCGCCTGTACCTTCTCAGGGTTCGCCTCTATTCCTCTCTGGTTGATAAGGAATCCGAGAAATTTCCCAGACTCAACTCCAAATACACATTTCTTGGGATTGAGCATGACATGGTGCCGCCTGAGTGTGGCGAAAGTTTCTCGGAGGTCCGTCAGATGATCTTTCTGAAGTTTAGTCTTAACAATCATATCATCAATGTATGCCTCGACGTTTCTCCCAATCTGATCAAAGAACACTGTGTTTATCATTCGTTGGAATGTAGCCGGGGCATTCTTAAGACCAAACGGCATGACCGTATAACAGTATAATCCCTGATCAGTGACGAAGGCCGTCTTCTCCTGATCTTTCTTCCACAAAGGAATTTGATGAAAACCAGAATAGGCGTCCATAAAACTCATCAAGGCATGGCCGGCTGTTGAGTCGACCAGGTTATCAATTTTTGGCAGAGGGTAACTGTCTTTGGGGCACGCCTTGTTCAAGTCTGTGTAGTCTACACACATTCGCCAGGTGCCATTCGGCTTTTTAACAAGTACCACATTTGCAACCCAATCTGGGAAGTAACATTGCCGAATGAACCCTGCATCAAGTAATTTTTTGACTTCGGCGGCGGCCGCCTGACCTCTTTCTTCACCATGGTTCCGCTTCTTTTGCCGTACCGGCTTCTTTTTCGGATCCACAGCGAGTTTGTGTACTGCCAGATCAGGACTAATGCCTGGCATTTCATGGACTTCAAATGCAAAGATGTCCTTGTATTCTTTCAACAGGTTGTGAAAGTCATCACCAAGGTTTCTCAGAGCAGTCGTCCCAACTTTGACTGTTCGGTCAGGGCGGGAGTCGTCTAATATCAGGTCCGTATGCTCACCAGCCGGCTGAGGGCGGAGCTCATCCGGCCGGTCCTCTGCCAATGATTGCTATTTTCTTGCCTTTCTGGCGGACTCTGTCTGGGACGCCTTTCTTTTTCTGTCGCCTGTTTCTTGAACAGGCGCACTTTCCTTGACATTGTCAAGGTCTGTTTTTTCTCCACTTGACCCAGTGGCCTTAGCAGTGGGTTTGACATCCGAGAGATAGCACTCTCGGGCCATCCTCTGATCTCCCCTTAGGGAGCCGACTGTTCCATTGTCCCTTTCAAACTTAAGCAGCATAAGTGACGGGATTATAACAGCCTTGGCACTATTCAGGGTTGGGCGACCCAGAATCATGTTGTAGGCAGAGAGTTCCTCTACAACTAGGAATCGGACTACCATGTGTCGTCCTTCCCCTTTTTCGCCCAGGCGGACGGGTAGATCAACTCGTCCCAGTGGGTGGACGACTCCTCCTCCAAACCCTATTAAAGGGTGGGAGGCCGGATGTATGCAGTCCGTCTGATATTTCAGTTTTGACAGACATTTGCTGCTGATGAGATCTGAAGAGCTCCCAGTATCTATGAGGATTCGACCAACTCTCTGGTTGGCCACTTTACATTCAATAACGAGAGGGTCGTCATGCGGCCCCCTTATTCCTCCTAGATCCTCTTCAGTGATGACAATCTCAGGAAATGTATATTTGGACGGTCGTTCTTGGTGAACGGAATTTACATCTAACCGCCTTATATTTTCTTTGTTGCCCCTAATAGTGGGGCCGCCTCCTGAGAAGCCGCCTGCAATGGTGTAGACGACTGCATCATCTGTATCGGAACTGTCGGCCTGTTGATTCTTTTTGGCCGACTGCTTTTTTGAGGAAGTATTCCCCGTAGATTTCTTGACATAAGTGTCAAGATCACCTTGATCAGCCAAGCGGTCTAGGTACCGCATGAGACTAATGCAGTCGTTGGTGTGATGACCAATGTCATCATGATAAGCACAGATTTTGTCTTGGTTCCGGTTGCTCGCAGAACCCTTCATGGGGAGCGGTTTCTCAATTGAGAGCCGTCCCTTTATTTCTTTTAGGATAAACTGGTTATCCTTGTTAAACACATACTTTGGGGAGTATGGTTTGAATTCCTTTTTCTTCTTGGCCGGCTGTTTAGAGGAATCAGCCGCCCAGACCCCTTTTCTTTTTTCATCTTTGTTGGACGACTGTTTCTGTCGTCCTTCTCTATTGTCGAACCTCTTCCCGTCCGACTGTTTCATTGTACACAGATCAGTCGCCTGTATATAGGCTTCTGCTTCAATCAAGGCCTCTTGAAGAGTCGCCACCCTTTTTCGAACTAAATCAAATTTGAAGGTAGACCCGTCTTTGAGACCTCTAAAAAAGTCAGTATAAGCTACCTCATCCGGTAACCCTTGAATCTGTATTCTCATCAGGTTGAACCGCCTGATGTAGGAACGAAGCCCCTCCTTTTCACCCTGCTGAATTGTTCCCAAATCAAGGGTCGTTTTCTTCGCAGGGATGTTCATTGCAAAGTTGGAGGCAAATAAGTAAGCAAGCGTCCTGAAACTGTTTACACAACCAGTCGGCAGGTTGCCGAACCATTGCTGTGCAATTCCCTTGAGAGTTGCTGGGAAACACTTGCACCAAGTGGGATCATCCAACCCTTGAAGGTACATCAGGTTGGTGAATGCCATCAGATGGTCTTCCGGGTTAGTAGTGCCATCATAGGCGCCTACTAAAACATTTTTTACTTTGGCCGGCTGAGCGGCTTCAGTAATTTCCTTGGAGAAGGCCGACGGCTGTTCACCAAGTCTAAGCAGCCGTAGCTGCCAGTCCATAGGTTGGACGTTTTTTGCTGCAGGTCCACCAAATGGAGGTGGCTGCATAAAATATTGTTGTTGCGGCACAAATGGTAAATTTGGTACCGCCTGCGCACTATGAAAGCCAGACTGACGGGAGGTGCCGCCTGACTGACTCGCATGGTACGACTGAGTTGGCCTCATCGAGGCATTTTGCAAACTGTCCTGAAAATTTGAAGTAGAAGCCGACTCTGATAATCGGTCACTCTTCTTCTGCTCTAGCAGGTGCCGAGCATCTGTGAACGTTTGCTTTGACCCGTCCGCCTGAATATGACGAACCGGTTTCCTATTTCCCGTAGGATAACGGAGTTTTGTGAAATCAAGAGCAGACGGCTCCCGCTTCTTAGATTTAGGATGGGGAGTCGCCTCTCGCCCTTTAACTGGCTTCCTCTTGAGTGAAGTGGAAGGTTTTTTGGCCGCCTGCTCTTTGACTGAAGCAGGCGGTTTTTTGTTGATCAACTCTTGGATCTCTCCCTTGAATCCCCTCATGAAGGTCATGAGTTCGTTCCTTGTGATGGGAGCAGACCCATCAGTCGGCTGTTGCCGAGCAAGCGGTGCGCCTGCTGGCTCGCTTCCTGTTTGAAGATACTCCCGTTCCCTTATTTCAGTATGACGGGTACGGCGGGCCCTTAGGGTCCCGTCTGGAGCTGTATGAGTTTCAACTTCAAATTCACTTTCGGTATCATGGTCCGACTGAACTTGAGGGTCGTCTAGGGGACGCCTCTCTTCTGGGGTCGGTACAGACTTGGATGCCATCTCTGAAGTACTCTCCCCACAGACGGCGCCAAATGTTTCGGGGTTTTCTGATGTCCTGCGGGAGAGTTACAATTCCGAGACTGGAACCGGACGCCTGTACCTGCAAAATAACGGAGACTCCTGAGAGCTCCGCCTCCAACGGTCAAGTTAGTACCTGATTAAGGAGTAATTAATACAGAAATTAAAGTAATAAGGTCTCTCTAGGTGAGAGTATTTAATGAAGGTAATCTGCTTTGCTAGCGAGATCAGCCGGTTATTAGTGTGTTCCGTTCATTATTCGGTCCCCCGATTAATGAGGATTAATCGAGTATTTATAGCCTTGGGAAGCGTGCAACTCTCTAGGTTTAAGGTAAACCTAGGGCCGAACGGGCTTCTAGACTGAAATGGGCCTTGATGGCCGGTTGTCCCATTTGGCATGGGTGGACACGTGGCGTGTCTTAAGTGGTCCGTGGAGGACGCGTGGCGGAACCTGGTTGGTCCACTTGTCAAACGGCGCTTGGTGGATAAAAATCCCCTAATCACACCTCATTGACAACTACGAAAGCAATGTCATAAGTTGATGCAATCCTCTTTATTCTCTTTAGCCACAATCCAAAACCATTATCAGTGTTTGACAACTGTGTTCAATTGTGCTAATGTTAGTTCATCCTGGTATGATTTTTTAATGTGTTGGTAGTAGGGGTGAGCAAAACCGGGTACCCGGTCATATTCTCAAGACCCAGATCCGGAACCGGTTATGACCGGGTCCCAAGAATTGGAACTGGTTTTGGAACCGGTTAATACCGAATCCAAGTTTCTTAGAAATGGTCCCGGAACCAGTAGGAACCGGTTCCAAAACTGGGTACCCGGTCTTATTCAATAGTAAAATAATGCTAGTTAATTCGGCAATCGCCATTGATGGACTTCCTTCAAAACCCAATTCTGCAAAACCATCACACTATTCAAACTCTCACAAAAACCTAAACCCTAAAATCTAACATATGTCAATAATCAGACAAATTAAAACCAAAATAGCACACAAAATAGAAAAGCAAATTGAAGTTGTTGGTGAAGCAAAAACTTGGCTTCATCCATCAATTCAGGACTCAATCTAAACATCAAAACACAAAACTCCATCTGATTAAGCGCACCATCACCATCACAATCACCTTCACGCAACATACTTCTTAAATCATCAGTGGTAAGATCCTGCAACCCCAGAATAGCAACGTTCTTCTTCAAACTATCAAATGTAATAACCCCTTTATCATTATCAACAAGCAACTCAAACCCTTTACATAATTCTCCAATTAAATTATCTCCGCCAAGCTTTTCCGCCATTAATGGAAGTTCATCTTGGAATACTTGTTGTTGCTCGTTCTTTGAAGACGCCATTGTTGATGCTATATTTTGAACAGGGGATTACTGATCGATTGAATGATTGATTGATTATGGGTTTGTTTGGGGGTTTAGTTGCGATTAAGTTGGAGATTGAGAGAAGGGGAATAAATAATAGGAAGGAATGAAGGAAGGAAAGGGAAAAAGGAAGGGAGTTACGGAGAAAGAGACATTGAAATGAAGTTGGAGGCTGGCAGAAAAGTAGAAAACCCTAGTGTAAAGTCTGTAAACCGTGAAAATGAATAAATGGGCCTACTTTTGTACTGGACTGTAGGTTTTTTTACAAAAAAAAATTAAATTTTTATAACTAAACCAGTACCGGTTCCGAGTACCCGGTTTGTCTGAATCCGGAACCGGGTACCCGGAACTGGAATTGGTTTAAACCGGGTACTTAGTGGGTACCGGGTCCGAAATTTTAGGATCCGGTCCCGGAACCAGTTACAACCGGGTCCGAAATTTTGGACTCGGTCCCGGAATCGGTGAGGCCAATTCCGGGTCCGGACCCGACGGATCCTAACCAGTTCCTGGTACCCTGGGTTTTTGCTCACCCCTAGTTGGTAGTACTACAAAGATCATTTTATACCATAGAAAACCTCGCTGATATATATACTTCAATGAGTTGCTGGTATATACAGTTGAATGATAATATGATATATACCATCGACCAAATTAATGGTATGTAAATATATACCAACAATGGTCTTTTAGTTTCCGATACTCTAATGTAACATGACCCTTGCAACATGATTTAATAATATGTCGTTGAGGAGGAGCAATATGAAACGAAAGCATTTCATTATTAAATAATTAGTGTATCCATACCAACTCAAATATAATTGTCCCACTTCTAAATCTAACTACTACACTATAATGAGGATAACAACGTTGTTGGAGTTATTCTAGAAAATCTATTACCCATATTCGACCCCAAGCCAGCATACCAACTAGAGCAGATTCTTGTATATGCTATACCAACAAAGATAAGCCCTATCTTCGTCGGTTCATTCACTGATACTATCCGTGTTATGGAACTATCTATGTTAGCCGCTGTTATGCATGCCCAGGTGTATTATGTCATTAACGACATAAGGCATCTACGTTTCCATACAATTAGAGTAACAACTTCTTTGGCATCATCCCGTAACGATGCACCAATTATAACCCGGGGTACCAAAGTTGTTTGTTGGAATGCCAGAAGGATGAACTGGCCATCCTTCATATGTCATCTGTACGCAGTCCATAACAAATTTCACCCTACGATTTTCATAATAACTGAGGTCAGAATCCGTAAAGAGGATCTAATGCTCATAAGTATATTCATGTATAACGCCCCCAAATTTCCCTCCATGTAGATACTATATTTATACGTATAAAATACCGTAGAGATAGACTTGGGCGTATTACCACCACGTGAAAACGTAAGGCTTACTTAACTACTAAAAATGGCAGCGGAAAAATAACTGACTTTTATTAATATTATAATAACCATAATATAAAGTTTGAAAAAAATACTCCAAATAAAACATGTCCGACTCATGAATGAGTAAATTCCTAGCTAAGTGATCCCGATCCCGACTCAAGTATGCGCACGATCAACTCCACACCTAAAATCAAAACTGCTTACCAATAATGGTAAACAGGGCGAACCAAAACAAAAGGGAAAACGGATTAGCAAAAACGTTAAGTACATATAAGTGCAAGGCATGTAAATGCTTTTATTAGACAAACATGCTTTCGAAATAATTATTCCAATTCAAACTTGCCAAAGGTCACTTTCCAAAATTAGACTTTCCAAATTTAAACCTTCCAAAAGTAGTAACTTCCATTAATAGAAACTTTCCAAACCAATAGATTTTCCAATTTTTAGACGAATTCCAAAAATCAATTTTCCTCACCTAAGTGTGCACACCCCCTAAGCAAGTTAAACTATACTCGAGGAAAGACCAGATCATACAAAGCTCATGGTCTTACTTAACCAGTCCCGGGTAGAGGGACAATTAAAATAATAAATACTCAGGCCCATAATGAGCTACAAGTTTAAATTAATTCTTTTAATTCAATAGCTTGAAATCCGGTGATCAATAAACAACTTTTATTAAGTTAAGCTACACTTTTAAAGATCAAACCTTTAAATCGTAAAATTATATTTTAACTCAACATGAAAACTATTAATCAATCTTGATACGAACATTTATTTAAACAATTATAAACATTCACCAAAGCATGCGTTCAAAACTTATATTAGGGACCTAGCCACCTATACATACCTTGATCATAAGAACAATTAAGGTACAATCACTAAACTTGACCACGATCGAGGGACTCCTCCATCACAATTAAAATAACCTTAATTAATATAAGGTTAACAAAATAAACACAAAATAATACTATGCTTGTGCATGAATTACCAAACCATTAACCCTTTTAAAACAAGAATTGTTTTACTAAAACAATAGGCTTATCGTAACATCATAATAATAGTATATAAATAACATAGTAGTATAATAATAATAGAGTTAGTATTAGGTAGTAGTATTAGGATCATATGTATATATACATAGTACGTAGTATGGGTATTACAAACAAAGTATTAGGATCATATGTATATATATGGTACGTAGTATGGGTATTAAAACCATGCATGCGAGCTTGCGGCAAAAGAAACAAGGAGAAGAGGGGTATGCCACCTCCTGGCAGCAGTTGGGTGGTGTGGCAGTAGTTAGGTAGCAGTAATGGTGGTTGTTTGGGCGCCAAAAACGCTAGTGTGGTTGCGGTGCGGTGTTTATTTGAGCAAGAAGGAAATAGAGGAAGAGGAGGGCGTGAGATTGAGAGTAGAGAAGAGGGTTTTCTGATTTTTTTTTTTTTTTTTTTTTTTTTTTTTTTTTTTTTTTTTTTTTGGTGTGAGGAATTTGTGAAGGATTGAGGGTCTATTTATAGTGTTTAGAGGGTGGAAAAGATAGAGTTGAAGGTATGATATGGTTACTAGAAAATATGATAAGTTTTGGGGTTTGTTAAAGTACTTGGATCAAATTGAGTCTAGTTTAGTAGTTGTGTTAAAAGATGAGAAGAAATTTAGATAGATATACATATGATTGGAAGAATGATGATAGGAAGAAAAATAGGATAATGAAGAAGAAGGCTAGAGGTTAATAAATAAGAAATATGTTTATCATAAAAATCATTCTTAAATAAAAACATGGTCTAGCTTCACATCAATTTATTTTTTATTTTTTTTAAATGAAAAAAAACGAAAATCATATTTAAATAGAATAATTGAATTTGATACTTAAATCAAGTTATTATATAAATATATAAATATTTTAGATAATATCAAAACTAAAATTAGTTGTAAATCATAATGTATATTAGGTATTATCTTTAAAACACTCTTGAAATTTCTAAGATAACAACATACATATTGAATAAAATATGGATTGACCTATAAAAGATAATTAAACCAATATTATTAATTTAAAAGTCCGAAAATAATTAATTATTCAAATGATTAAATACTTATATTTGGCGCCAAAATTTAAAATTCATTTTGGCTCTAAATTAAATAATTCAAGAAATTATTAAAATATTTTCCCAAAATTCGGGGTGTTAATCATGCATCCCTTACAGTTTGAATATGAGACCTAAGGACCCGAAGGTTGTCTTGGGGTTTTGTCATTTTATTATATAAGACAACCAGAAGGCATGTACGTAGGTGCGCAAAATTCCCTCCAAAATATTTGATCAAAAATACAACCCTGTGTTGGTATGACAACATGCATTGTTGGTACTTCATTGGCAACCACCAAGTCACAACAACTGAAAATATGGTCTTGGGTAGTATGTAATTTATGCAAAGGTCATGAAGGGTTCATTCTTTTACAACACACACAATAGACAAATACATCTGTAGTATCAGTTTTTACGAATTATGATTTAACTAAAATGCAAATTTGCGCGTTCGACAGTAATTCATACTTGAGTACGCATTAGACACTAATTCCGGTTTTGAAATTTAAGAGGAAGAGTTCGAATTTAAAAAACCGTAATTGATTGAAACTGAAATTGGTAACATTCATTGAAATTTACCTCAACATAATTTGTTTTTGGATAATATACTATTAACAATTGAATTAAAGTATACCTACAGGAGCAACAAATGGTCACTTTACTGTGTTGGATAATTATGAACATGATATATCATCTCAGGATTACGTGGTATTAATGTGATATACCATCAAAGGATATATAGGTATTCACATCATGTACCATTTCAAGTTAAACTAGTATATTAATAGATATACCATTTAGAATACGTTGGTAGTAATAAAACATACCAGCATATTGAATGTTGGTGTTACTATGACATACCATCAACAATATTCTTGGTTTTAATATAAACTAAAACGTCAGAACATGTTATGATTAAAAATAAGACATACATTATCCAAACTACTAAATTACTACACAGTCCAACAACATTTAACAAGCTAAGTACATATTTCAGCCATGGTTGCCATAGCTAGAGAAGTCATCGAGTCCCATGTTCAGAACATGTCCAGCCGTAAAGAGTTGTGCTCTTGGATCACCGTAATGGACTTGGATGAGGCACCAAGGGGACATTCCTCAACGGAGTCACAAACACTCCATCATCACCTCCCTCTACAACCTGATTTAAGTCAATCCCATCACCCCTTACATGATTCATGTCAATACCATCATCCCCTGCATTATTTAAGCCTATACCATCACCCCCTGCATTATTTAAGTCTATACCATCATCCCCTACATGATCAAAAACATCACTTTCTCCCAAAATTTCATCATCAAAATTAGGACATGATCTACCATTTTCCTCTTCATCTCGATCCATGGGCTTTTCCTCACAATATCAACAAATTTGACTATGGTATATCACTTACATTAACTCACAATATCATCAACAACAGTTTCACTCTTCTGTTAACCGACAATATCAACAACAAATTCACTTTCACATACCCCATGTATAAACAATTTAACAATCATACACAAAACATCACAACAGTACAATTCAGTTCGTAGTTGGTATTAATATCAAATACCAACTAATCTTTAATTGGTATTTCATACTACATAATTAGATCACAATGTCACCACTATTCCCAATTTTATACTACAATAGAATATCCTCCATACTTATAAACTGCAACAGAAACTGTATTCCCAATTTCATACTTCAATAGAAACCATGTAACAGCAAATAACTACAAACTTATAATTCATGCTAACATATCAATAACAATAATTCCACAATATCAATACCAAAAATTCCACAATAGAATTTAACAGTAATTAATGCTATCATCACTACCATTAATTCCACAAGTTCTTATTCAATAACAATACTAATTAATGCAATTATAACTACCAATTAAGTCAATTATCCATGAGTAATAATTCCACATTCCACTACTTTACATCAAAAATTACAGCTGCAAAATTATTACAAATAAAGTGTGCACTAACCTCAGCACTCCGACTACCACCAACATCGCTCCATCCATCAACACAATGCATCTTCAATCAATTTCGGCTAACGCAAAACCAATTCACCAATTTCAACTTCCACATCTGGAACAATAATTACCCAACCACACAACAAATCGAAGGCCCAACGAATTTCACAAGATTATTTTACAAAACTCAAAAACATGAATTACAAGAAATTGAATGGGAAATGATTAAATTGATTCTTGTAATTTATTGTGTGCAAAAAAGAATAAATATTGGAGATAAGTTTGAGAATAAAGAATTTTGTGAATTGGGAGGAAGAATGTGAAAATTCATGAAGTTTGGCAGAAATAACAATAAATTTGGGACAAATTATGACAAAAAGGACCCACAATACTGTCTTGTCTTTTTCTTTTTTTTCTTTTTTTTTGTCTTTTAGTTGTTCATTGCCGTACAAGTGGGGCCCAACCTTTCCCTTGAGTCCATAAGGACTAATGTACTAGACCCTGAGAAATCCTCCAATATATAGGTTATTTGTAATATGAATACAAATATTTTCTTTTCTAAAATGGGTATGGTGCATTATTTGTGAATTTTTCTTAAAAGGCAAGTTGTGCAATATTTAAAAAACGGAGGAAGTATTAAAGTTATACTCGTTTTACATAATGTTTGAGTATTCTTAGCTAAATAATAGTGACACAAGTTGGAATGATCTTCTTTTTGAAACAAACAAACAAAAATAAAAAGAGATTATTTTTTTTCTTTTTTTTTACAAAAAAAGTAAGATGGGGGGCGCTTCTCCTATCACAGAAGGGGTAAATAAAAAGAGGTTGGACTGGTATATTTTGTCATGAACTTGTGCGAGATATTCTAGGTAAACAATTTATTTATTTTTTTAACTTTATATTTTAGGATTTGATTTGCTAAATAATGTTGATATAATGTAGTGATTAGTGAATCATATCTTTAGGATTTATGATATGTGAAGTGTTACCTATCTTATGTCATCTTAAGATTTGTATACAAACACTACGTATTATGAATAATAAACAAGTTATGACATTAGCCCTTTTACCCTTAAACTTAAACAGGCAGATGATTAATCTCATTTTGTGCCCAAGGGTGGCACATACAATAATTTGGATGATCGGATCGGGTTATAAACCCTCATTTAGCTCCACTGTCGAAACTTAAGCTAGGAATTCATAGATAAGATGAATAGTATAACAGAAGTATAGAACCTGTGGCATGAGTTCATGACTCAGTGTGGAATAGTAGATGAACAAAGAATTTCATAGTCAAACTACGTAGCATCTTATTTTTCGATCTGATTCAATTGTCTGAAGTAATAAAACGCACAACAAAATTAAGCTTTGCTAAGTAGACTTCAGCATTTCCTCAAAAAAAAAAAAAAAAAAAAAAAAAAAAGAAGAGTGGACTCCAGCATCAAATAACCTTTTATTTAATCCATTCATACTGTAAACTAGACCTCCGTGAATCATTTCAAGATCCAGTCTCACCACAGTTCACTTTGCTACAATGCCGGAATTCAAATTTCTTCCACCTTCAAGGAGACTTGTACCAGCCCCATTGTTCACCAGAAATATCGCTAGTCACCTGCTTGATATTTAAGTAATTCTCGATACCCCTGAAGAATTTACAGAGTACACATCAGAAAAGAAGCATGATAGCAGAATCACAATATTGTGAATAAGAAAAAGAGACATTATTGTTAGTGTAATCTCACCATTCCCCAAGTTCACGTCCAAATCCACTACGCTTGATTCCTCCCCATGGAGCTTGAACAAAGCATGGTTGTGAACAATTAACCCAAACAGCTCCAACTTCTAGAGCCTGCATAACCAAACAAATAAGGAATAGACGAAAATCACAGAGCCAAATCTTGAATCAACCAAGAAGACGATATGGTTTGCTTGATTGTTGCAATTATGCTTACCTTAGTTACCCTCTCACATCTTTCAAGATCTTTAGAAAACACAGCAGCAGCTAAACCATATCTGGAATCACACAACTACAATCAACACGAGAAAGAGTATCTCTAAGGAGGCAGAATCATTATTCAACAAACTTACTGTGTATCATTTGCCAATTCAATGGCTTCATCTTCAGTACTAAATGTTTTAACACATATGACAGGACCAAACACTTCCTCCTTCCATATTTGCATGGATGTGGAGATATCAGTTACAATGGTGGGTTCAATAAAATACCCTTTCTTCAAATGCTGCAACAAATACATCAAAGATTCAGGCCTCATTAGGTATCAGCATTGCAGCAATAATATAAGTTATTAAATTATCAGTATTAAGTTGGGTTTGCAAGTTTGATAAGATTATAGCATTAACAGATTTACGCATAGGGATTTAGCATGTACTGTAAACCATTTTGCTATCTAGTGTCCAAAATGGAAGAAAAAAAAAAGTAGCATTCTGAAGATTAGATAGTACGTAATAAGCGGTAATATGGGGTGAATGTGTTCCAAACATCATATTAGCATATCAATTTGGTCAAGATGTTTATCAGATTCCAAATAAAATATATTCTCTTTAATTTGATGTGTGGTTCACCAAATAATTCTATTGTACTCAGAAACAACAATTGTTTATTTTACCTCAGGGCGGGAGCCTCCACACAAAATAGTTGCCCCTTCACTCTTTGCTGTTGATATGAAATTCATAATTTTGTCGTACTGAAGCAAATGAAGTAAACATTAGATGGTTCCGCTGGCACAGAATTGTAAAAGCTAAAATTAAGAAATAATCCATAATACCTGTCCTTTACTAATAACAGGGCCAAGCCGGCATCCTTCCTCAAACGGGTCAGAAATTTTTATGTTTTTCGTCCATTTTACCATCCTATCAACAAATTCGGTTGCAATACTTTCCTGTAAATTGATTATAGAACAGATAATTCCAAAGTCAGAAAAGGATCCTTCTTAGCATGCTTGTACATACTTAGTAATGAAAATCAATCTTGTTAACTAGTTAACGTCAATTCATCAAATTTCTTGCAGATTAGGATGCTTACATGCACAAGAAGTCTAGACGTTGCACTACAGATTTGACCATTTGTCCAGAAAACGCCAAAAATAGTCCATTCAACAGCTGCTCAATTACAAATTTCAATATGTTAAAGAGATGGAATTGATTAAGCTTCTCTGATGAACAAAAGTCAGAAAAAATTGATTCTGGAATGAAAAGATATATTAGATACTAAAAGGACCAAATTTTGTTTGATCTTAGATCAACTAACCTGTATCAATATCAATATCTTCAAACATAATAATCGGACTTTTACCTCCAAGCTCTAACGTAACAGGCTGCAATCAAGTTAGTTTTAGAAATGGGGGCACCCAAACCATAGAAAGAAGATTGAAATTTTGGCTGAATTTCTCTACCTTAACTAGTTGGGCAGCAGAAGCCATAATCTTGCTGCCAGTGGCACTACTCCCAGTAAAAGCAACCTGTTTTATCAAAAAATATGGTCACCTTTAAAACAATATGAATCACCAAAAGTTTTCAAAAGGTAGAGCATGAGGTACTGAGGCAGGGCAAGGTAAAACCTTGTCAATATCAGGATGAGATACTATTGGTGCACCAGCATCAGGACCTAATCCTGTCAAAATATTTAACACACCAGGAGGAAGTCCCACTTCGTTACAAACGTCACCGAATTCTAGACAAGTCCTGAAATTGAGCCATACAATTTGTTATCTGACATTAGCATTGACCGTTTCATAGAGAGAGCAGTTTTATATTATAGAGCTTTAGTGAATAACTTACACAGATGCCAACTCTGATGGTTTAAGTACAGCTGTGCATCCAGCAGCAAGTGCTGGTGCAATTTTCCATGTGGCCATTAGAAGTGGGTAATTCCTTCAGCGGAAAAGAAAAGAAAAAAAAAATGAAAAGTATCAGTAACAGACTAACAGTAAGCATGGCACAGCCTAAGCATTACACTTAGTCTATGTTACTCAGACTCTTTAATTAATTTTCACTATCATGTTAGATACTTGACATTACAATGACGACAACAACAACAAACTATTCCATGGATTTTTTGGTAGCATCATTTATCATTTTTTTGGTCAAACTTTGTGAACTTTGACCAAGCAAAAAAAATGTGGGATTTTGTTAATAGCATCATTGTGTATATTACAAAACATCAACTTTTAAAATAAATCTTAACATTCAAAACTAAAGTGATTTATGGTCAAAGATGTGCGTTAGAGAATTTGTAAACATTGAACTTTGGAAAGTGGGAGAGGGGATATTGCAATTTTAGGCAGAAGGAATTACCATGGGGATATTAATCCAACAACACCAATGGGCTGCCTGAGAACATGACTTTTAAATCTATCCATAGGCAGGGTGACTGGAGCCTTTTGTTTGGCATCCAGCTTTTCAGCTTGACCGGCAAAATATTCAAAACATGAAGCAACATCATCCTAAAACAATACAAAATCAAAGCATGAAACTCAACAGGAATGCGGAGTCAAGAATCTAAAAGAGTATATTCAAATTGTTAGCTCACAATGTCCAACACTGCTTCATCAAATGGTTTTCCAGAATCAAGAGTTTCCAGTTTAACGAAATGATCTTTTCTTTCTGTGATCTGCAAAATAAAAGTCAGATTTAGGTATATATTTGACTAAAGCATCAATTTTATTCCCCATGTCTCATAGAAATAAACCTTTCAACCAAAAATACACCTGAATCAGGTATAGATAGATAGAAAACAACTTGAATACTTCAAACCAAATTTGAAAGTAAGTCTTATAAGGGTCCATTAGTACCCCAAATTCTACAGTAATATTTAGGCCTTGACCCATTGTTGCTATGTCCATGAAGTATAGTTAATGACTAAGATCAGTTAACACTGTAATTATTTAAGGACTAATACATGGTAGATAGTAATCACCGTAAAGGAGAGAGGGATGGAAGAATATTTTGTACTCAGTATCACATTTCAGCATTTGAAGTACAGCCTTTACTTCTTTAATGACTAAGATCAGATAACACTGTAATTCTGTATAGTTCTTCCAGTTTTCCCTTCAAGTAAGCTGAAATTTCTCCGTGTAGTTTTGCTGCAAGCTCAAGCTCAAACTAAAACATATCCTACATCTGCTAATTTGCTAAAACCAACAGCTTATCCATACCAGGAACCACAACTCAAACTAAACCATACAAACATCGACATGCCAGTGCCCCTTCATGTTTAAAAGGTCATATAATCACTGCTCACATGTACTGTACACTATCATACCTCTGTAACTGCAATCGTTAGATAACCTTGCCACAAGTTAAACTTTATATTCCTTATTTTATTCTCACTTAATTCATGAAAATAAGTTCAGATATGAGCTAATAACTAATGTTATGGGCCAAAGGGCTACCCAAGTCCAATTTACATCTACAAAAAGTATAGGAAAGTTCAATTAAATGCAATCAGTTCAGATAAGTGAAACTCAGTTCAAGAGAAATACACCCTTTTTGTCTATAGAATAAGAAAACATTGCTCCATATTTGAGCAATGCCGCCCTCTCTTAGAGGGTAGAAGGGTCATTCTATTTGGACAATAAAAATGAAAAATGAAACTAAATAATGTCGAATTACCTATTTACTACCGAAATTGCACACTTTCGCCCAATAACTAAGATGAATTCGAAATAATAGAACTCCAAAAATATCACCCAAGCTGAATAAACATGACTGCCTATTTGCTCATACAATTCAAATTGATTCTGCATACCACCACAAGAGACTAAATTCAGGAAAACAATCGTTTAACCCGGAATTGTCCATCTGATGAGCTTATTAGCCCTATATACCGAACTCTGAAGCATTAATGTACCACATTTTAATCCAAAGAGAAAATTTTAACCAATAATTACACTTTTACACTTACATACAGCTCATTCCAAAACTAAATGAGGACAATTATTCAAAACACTTCTTACAGCTTGCAGATCAAATTCCCAAATCAAAAGATGACATGCAGATTATGCCAACATCACCAATCCACAAATAATTCAGCAATAAAAATACCCAACAACACAAATTATCACCATCAAAACAAAAATAAACATCATACTTGTATAATTTAGTACTTTGTCAAACAAAAAGAAAGATATAACTCAGCACCTTAGCAGCAATAGCACGCAAGTATCTAGCACGATGAGCACCAGAAGTTGCAGCCCAATCTCTGCCTTTGTTCTTCTTAAATGCTTTTCGAGCAGCCACCACTGCAACCTCAACATCCTCTGCAGTTGCTGCCGGAATATCACCTGAAAGTACACTTTAATTAATACCCACATCACTAAACATGAACTCTAGCAGACCCGCTAAGTATAAGCATTAAATACATTTCCTAAACGGGAATTGATTTAGAAATGATTTAGAAACTCGTGTCAAAATCACGTTTCAATCGGCGTTACTAATGTTTAGTTTAAACAAGTAATTAAAACACCCACTTGGGTATGTACTATATCTGATGAAACATCAAATTTTTAGCTCATTAACTACAATTTTTATATAGAAATTGAGAAATTTATTTACTATATTAAGAATCTAACCGATGATTTCCTCAGTGGAAGGGTTAATGATGGGGATGCGATTTTTTTTAATGGGTTCTCTCCACTCTCCATCGATGAAGAGTTGACGAACAGGCATAGGAAACGCCATTTTAGGTGATTTAACAAAGAAATGAAAAGGGGAGGAGAGAGAAAGAGTGGGAAGCAAAGAGTGATAGTATAATAGTGTTGCTTATATAATTGAATTGAAGGTACCAAATTTAATTTAGGATGAGGATGAATTACTACGTGGCTACTCGTTGCATATATGTCCATTTTTCATGGGTGTCTTTTGTCTAATGTTTTATTTAATTGGTTTTGTTTTTTTTTATTGTTTAATTGACACGTTTTGACTTAGTTGATACACTCTTCTTTTATCGATGTGCGATCTTATTTCTTGAATATCTATGTACATAGTACTACTTTTAAAGGTTAGCTACTCCACATTTATTGTAAGTGAGTAATAATGGTTAAGTTATACCTTAACATACTTGGAAAAAAAAAATCAATTAGGGAAAGTATATGCACTAAGATAACAAAGCTAGGATGAAAAACATAACGGTGCTTTTTCTGTGTAGCCCGAGGTTATTTATTCAGGGGTTACTCAGTTGGTTAAGAGTTACTTATTCTGCTATTACTCAGTCGGTTAGCACATTTTATGTGTAAGAGTAACCCCCTGACCGATTGTGTAACCCCTGACCAACTAACCTCTGAATAAGTAACCCTTTACCAACCGAGTAACCCCTGAATAAGTAATCCCTGACCGAGTAACCCTTGAATAAGTAACCCTTGACCAACCGAGTAACCCCCAAAATAAGTAATCCTAATCACACAGTTTGACCGGCCACATATAAAAATTAGTGAAAACAAATAGGTATATATAGATGCACTGAGAGTAATTTGTATTTTGCTAATGTTACACATCTATTGCCCTATTGGTTAACACTATACAAATATACAAATATACATGTAGACTTAATCGACTTATACATTATGCCTCCTTACAAAAAGAAATACCTTACGAGTTTGAATTAATATTCGAAGAAAGTTGCAAGCTACAGCTATAGTTATATTTATAAACATATGGAAAGGAATCAAGCATATTTACATATTGTAATAACTATTCAATCAGCTTAGTTTGATCTAGATAAATAGGTTGAATATTTCGATCATCAAACAATTTCACGATACATGGAATATATCTTTGATAGTATGACTATATGACCTAGTTTTTAAAGAGTTTTATTTTATGTGTGTCTAAGCAAATATATCCTCATATACCTACCAATTGCTTTCATAAGTATACTTTTCTACTCTCCTTTTTTCACCTCCTCTTCAGGGTTTTCAATGTCTAAAGCTACAAGTTTGATATAGCAATGTTGATATAAAGAAGTAATCAATTTTATTGCATTATCCAATCAATTGGCTCATATAATTATGAGGAGATCAATTGTTCTTTGATTTTCTTTTCAAATTTCCATATGAACAAACATTCATCATTTTATAAAAGCACGCATATTTATTATCATTTATGATCTAAAATGTTACAATTTATATAAAATAAACAATTTTTTTCCAAATCACTTTGTTGGTGAGATAATTATAGAGTCGAGTAAAATGTTACTAGTTTAAATACAATAGATTTTAGATGAAATATCTAATGTATGTGGCTGATGCCTTCTTTGGTTATATTAGTGGTTGCAATCTAATGTTGGCGTTAAGGCTTATTACAAACTACAACCATAGGTCAAAATGCTTTTTGTTTTTTGTATTATTTTTCTTTTCTTTTTTTTTTTTTTTATTTTTTTTATTATTCCTAAGAAAGTTTTGGACAAGATGACAAGCAACGTGTTTGGTGTTCGAAATAATCGAATGTCATTTTCTAGTCTGGTGATTAAAAAAAAATTAAGAGGCCCCTTTTGGCCCCCTTATGAAGTTATGATCAATATTCAGAATCAAACTATATAAAAAAAAAAAAAAAAAAAAAATTCAATGTCCTGTGTAAAACAATATTGTTATCAAACTCCAACAGTCAGAGTCCAAAATAATAATAATAATAATAATAATAATAATAATCAACCTATTTATCTAGATCAAACTAAGCTGATTGTATCTCGGCTTCCCACTAATTTATGGTAGGTTGTATGACTTTGTCTGTTTATAATAATAATAATAATAATAATAATAATAAATATGAAGTACTTCTTCTAAAATCGACAAAAGGACTTTCTTTGAAAAAAAAAAGCAAGCAATAATATTGCAAAATCAAGCTAGGCTCCGTCAATGTAATGCATGAATTAATGATACTTTGGGTGAAAAAGTCCATATAAACAAACTTAAACTATCTTTCTTGTCCCATTTAGCCACAAAATGGGCAACGGTATTGCCGTCTCTCTTAACATGAGAAATATTAATGAAGTTAAAAGAATATAACAGCCTTCTAATGTCATCATAATTAAACTAAAAAGATAGGAGCGCAACCAACAATTGGAGTATTAGCAGCTTGAACCACTCCGAGTGCATCACTTTCGCACCCACACATTATCATAGCCAAACCACTTTCTAAAAGAAAAACTCATCTACATAAATAATTTTTAAATTTAGGGTATGTTCTATTCACCTTATTTTTCATTATTTGAGGTCTAATAAGTTCAGTTAAGTTAAGAAAAGTTCAGTTCAGGAAAAATATGTTCACATAAGTTCAATTCAGAAAAAATAAGTTATAATAAGGAAAGTTCAAATTACAATTAAATTAAGTTTTGATAAGTTCAGTTAAGTTCAAATAGGTTCAAATAAGTGAAAATCTAACAAATAAAACACAGCCTTAAAGCCCTTAATACTCTTTTTATTAAACTTTGATAAACACAGTAATCAAGACGCGCGCACGGTTTTACTAAGAAGTAATAAATAATCTTTAGCAAGAGCAACAATAACATGGACTACATCCATGGATAGTCATGTCTACTTTTTCGTATAGCCCAGGAGAGTAATATCTTATTTCAAATTTGAAACTCCCTTTTAGAGGTGTTCGTCTTTAATTTACCTGGTTTATGGTTTGCTTTTTGTTAACCTAGTGTCGTTAATGCTTAGATATATGACATATGCTCCATAACATAAATTCTCGATAACTAGATGTGTATTTTGAGAATCTAATTGATGAGTTGATGATTGTGTTAGGGGTGAGCAAGATCCAAGGTATCCAGTGCCGGACCCGGAACCGGTTAGGATCCGCCAGGTCTAGACCCAGAACTGATCTCATCGGTTCCGGGACTGGGTCTAAAATTTTGGACCCGGTTGTAATCGGTTCCGGTTCCAGATCCTAAAATTTTGGACCCGGTACCCACTGGGTATCCGGTTGTATATGATATAGTATGTGGATTGTTTGTATTTTTAAGAAACTAAAGAGTTATGTACAACCCATTTTAATTTCTAAGCTCAATTGCTTATAAAACTCTCAACCCACTATCAAACAAAATCCTAAAACTTCTAAATTTCCCTCTCCGATCTACTATACCGATTACCCAACATATATTGTACAAAATATATTTAAAAAAACAAAAATATGTTTAACGTAACTAATTAGTAAAATAAAAAAATATTAATATTTAATATAATTAAAATAGCTAAATGTATATAAAAATATAAGTATTAAACGCTAAATGTATAAATACACCAAAAAAAAAATTTATGATTTGTATTATATTTCAACACTTATATATATAAATGGGTACCCGGAATCGGAACCGGTACCCGGTGGAACCAATTCCAATTCCTAAATTTTTGGACCCGGTTGTACCAGTTTCAATTCCGGTTTTAAATTTTAGGACCCGGTCCCAACCAATTCCGGGTCCGGATCTTAAAATTTTGACCGGATACCCGATTTGCTCACCCTATTTGTGTATTAGCTTAGATTTTTACTGACCTCAAAAGAATTTTTCCCTCAAAAGAACCTGCTTAAAACCGTCATTTTGCATTTTTGTGAGCTAGCTAGCATGTTGGGCTATGTTTGGCATGTTATACTTTCAAGGAATTCACTCATCTCATTATTACTCTAAATTAGGTCTTATGCTCTTCCCCTAATTTTATTTGAACATATTCTTTGTATTATACCAAGCTAATTAATACACAGTCATCAACTATATGTTTCTAAATCTAACAACACGATATTTAGCTTAGATTAAAGATTTAGTTGGATTAAAAGTTTAAAACACCTCACACGAACTTTCATTAAGATAATAAAAAAAATTGCTTAAACACCAAGAGGCAAGAGCGTTGCATCTCCTACAACCAGCAACACAAACTTTATTATTGAACAACTACAATGAGACAAAACTAATAATTTAGCATATAATTGACACAATTAACTAGTTTATAATGATTTGTCAAAAAAAAAAAAAAAAAAAAAGACTAGTTTATAATGTGAAAGCAAAATTCATGAATAATTTGTCATTGCATGGGAAATTCGAATCATTATTACCTAATCTTTATATACTCCGTATATAATTGCAAATCAATTAAGGCCTATTAGTCTTTGAAGAAAGATTCTTCACCTAATAATATGATGATGTTATAATTATGATATTAAAAAATGAAAGCGTGAATAATTTATCCATCCTTTGAATTTGTATTTAATTTTATTTTATGATGGACAACTAAATCATGCATGTTAATTCAGTGTTTTTAAGTATGAATATACGGGATATATTTACGAGTTAAAACTTTTTTTTTTTTTTTTTTTTTGTAAAGTGTTATTACCTTTTAATTTAATGATTCAAACTACTTTGTGTTGACTATTATTTTTGTGAGTGGCAGTGATTAGGATTTGTTTAATAAAGTTAAGATTTGATCATATGTATAATAACTATTCAATACGTGATAGATAGTTTTAAAAAAAAAAATGGCATATAAAAATCGAAATAATCTGATACATTACATATAAATCTTTAGTTTTATAACAAATTAAAATAAAATATTTCACAACAATAATAAACAAGTCTCATATATAGACATTTTTTCTTTGTACTTCCTCTGCTTCATATTGTCTTCTATTTAAATCTTTTGGTGACACAATACAAGATTGGCGTTAGAGAGGAAGAATTGAACCATATAAAATGGAGGGAGTATTAATATATTTGTCATAAAAGATGATCAGGAGAACAAAGAAAAGAATCATGGGATTGAGATTTGCAGCAAAAATAAACCGGGAAATTAAAAATGGAAAAAGATTCATACATCATACTCCCAAATCTAGGGCTGAGGAAAATTATT